GTGTGCTCCACAAAGCCTGTCATGTTTCGCCCACGCATCAAGTTAGGTTTTGTCTCTGTATCAATACATGCACCGCACCGCACCGCAACGCACCGCAACTTCACCGCACTTACCGAACCGCATAACACTGAAATGCACTGCGTCATTCCCACTTGTTGTTGTGACGTGCAAGTGAGAATAAAGAATGTCTTCTTGGTAAATTTTCTTTTTCTGGCTGTGACAAAGGTCATACAACTTAAATATACTTGACAACAATGGCAATGGAGGGGTGTGTTAGATTAAGATTTCAAACCAACTGGGGAAGACAACTGTTTCTCACACCTGTGGATGAGAAACCCAAGCGAGATAACTGGTATCAAACATGTTTGAGATCGGATTCCAGGTCCGTGATTGGCTACTCCATGGTGATGACCTGATTTGTTGATAGGTAGCTCGTTGTTCAGTTGAAATCGCCAACGTCCGTGTCTGATCGTTATGGTTTTAGAGGGTACATAAAATATACTATATTTGTTCTGATCTAGTTTGCATTATCATCATCGCCTTCACAATCCACAGAAAAACTGAAACATTTTTTTGCGGAGTGTTTGGTTGTTTTGTTTGTTGTTTGCTGTTTAACGCCACACTCAGCATTATTCCAGCTACATGACGGCGGTTTGTAAATAATCTAGTCTGGACTAGACAATCCAGTGATTGACAACATGAGCATCGATCCACGCAATTGGGATCGATGACATGCATCATCCAAGTCAGCAAACCTGACCACCCGATCCCATTAGTCGCCTTGTACGACAAGCTACGACAAGCTACGGCAAGCATGGGTTGCTGAAGACCTATTCTTCCCCGGATATTCACGGGTCGATGTGATTGGTAGCCAATACTTCATACATCGTCTGTGGTAACTAACAGCCAGACGATGTCTCCCCATTCACGACACTATTTGATCATTTATAACTCAGGTTTAACCAAAAAAGGTACACCAATTTGTGTGGATCCGTTCAACCGTGTGTACTAGTATTCAGGCATGATTTTGTTTGTTTGTTTGTTTGTTTAACGCCGCAATCAGCAATATTCCAGCTATATGACAGCGGTCTGTAAATAATCGAGTCTGGACCGGACATTCCAGTGATTGATGTCAAGAGAATCGATCCGCGCAATTTGGATACGATGACATGCATCAACCAAGTCGGCGAGCCTGACCACCCGATCCCGTTAGTCGCCTCTTAAAAGCATAGTCGGCTTGTGAGTAGTAAGCAGTAAGATGGATGACGTCACTCACGACCGCTGTGTTGTTATGTATTAATGCGATAATGAAAACAGACGAAACATGCATCGATTCAATGCTAAAATGGTTCGATTTACCAAGGAAACAGTTACGGCACTTGCGCTTTTCATTTAACATTTATCTTACAACTCGTTGTTCGGAAACGAACCACTCGTGCAGTAATACCTATATCTCCGCTTGACATTGGCTTTTATGTCTTCATACTTTGAAGGGAAAAAGGGTGGACCAGTTGTTGAGCTGTGATCCGTTAGTCGTGGGTTCCAGATAGGAGATGAACATGTTTGCAATTTCGATAGGTAGATTCAATTCCGGAAAATTTCGAACACGAAAGCGGGAGGTTTCGAACTTTACATTTTTACAGGTTTTGAGTGAGTGAATGAGTGAGTTTGGTTTAACGCCGCTTTTAACAGTATTCCAGTTATATCACGGCGTGTCAGCTTTATGTGGGAGGAAAGCCCGAAGTGATGCAGGTGTTAGACGTTTACCACTTCGGTGAAACCCACGAACACGGGTATGGTGCTGACAAACCTAGAAACATAATCGGGGCGAACCGGGATTCGAACCCACAATCATAGGCCGAAGGGACGCAACTCTGCACAGCGAATTGCGGCGCCTTAGACGACTGGGCCACCCGTGCCCCCTTACAGGTTTTGAATCGGTTCAGTTGTCAATAGTGTATTAAGCTCTTTTGACTTAAACCAGATGTTTAATCACTGTAGTCTTGTTTGTGTCAGAGATCCGGAATGGCTGGCTGGGGTCCATTCAAAGCACCAGTGGCTTTCCAACAACCTGGTGGCGCCGAGGGGCACCAACAACACTGGAGGACATGGGACGTGAGTGACTCTTTTACCAGAGGTCACAATCGAAGGCGATTTAGTTATTAAATTGAATTCCTCTAGCATAGATATCCTGTATGAATTATCTTAACATAATACAGGCCGACTCAGCTGGAGAACCTTGCCGCGGGACCAAGCCATGTGGTGCCCGCGTTGTGTCCACGTGAATGATATATCGCCATGCCAGAGGATTATACAATCAATGTGTATTATTGCCTTGAACAATCCGATAATGTGTCACGGCGTTTCTTGTCAGATTAACGCCGCACACAGCAATACACGCATTCGTGACCAATTCGTTTTATTCCGGGACAAGAATAGCGACTCGTACCCTACTCATGGCCATTTTTGCGACCGGGTTCCGTCTTAGCGCAAACAGGCATACCTAAAACAATTGTCAACTCGTTGCGTAATGGTTCACATATATTTCCCCATATATTATATACATTTCAGATGCAATTTAAAGCACATCGGGACGTGCGGAATTATACTGTATGATTGAACACATTTAACTGTGTCTTGGGTATATTTTAGATGCAAGACGTGTAAAATCAAAAAATTATTACAGAGGGATTCTTTGACGAAGAACTTAAATCATAGGCGCATTCTGATTGGTTTGTCGTATTTTCGCACACAACATTCATCGATGGGGGGACGAGTCTTCTTGCAGGTTACGGAAAGGGGCGAGTGTTAACGAATGCACACACGAGGATATGACAGACGTCCATACATTGCCATCACTCAGTGACTGCTACCAACACTTCAGCTGTGTTGTCACTCGTGACTCTTTAGGGATCCTTTTTACACTTCTTCGCTCAAAGGTTGTTTGTTTGTCGTTTAGCGCAGCACTCTGCAATATTTCAGCTATATGACAAAAACTTGTAAACAGTCGAGTCTGAACAAAACATTCACTGATATTATGAGCTACGTCGGGGTACAATGACGTTCAACATGGATCATCACCGCTCGATCCGTATAGTCGCCCTCTTACAAATATATATATATAAATAAAGGGTTTCCTATTTGCCCAGGATCACCATTTTTTCAAGGGCCCGTGGTTGCAATGGCACCAATGCTGACCGGGAATCCTCACGATGCTGGCGTTAAATAAGGGTATTCGGTACGGACATTTATAGTGCGCTGATTGTCCCTGTGTACATACCTTTCCTGAGCGTAAGTAAGACAGCAAGTCACTGTTATTCTGAAAATGCAATTAAAACTCATAATCAAATTTCACTTGAAATCAGAAAAAAGTGTCTTGTGCACGAGTCCATCTCCAAAAACATGGAATGTCATTCGAATCAGTACAACGAAGTTGATTAACTCATGCCTGAATAGACCCGTGAAGATCCGGGATAGAATAGGTCTTCAGCAACCCATGTTTGCAGTAAGAGGCGACTAACAGGATCCGGTGGTCAGACTCGCTGACTTGGTTGATGTATGTCATCTTGTCCCAATTGGGTGGATCGATGCTCATGTCAATCATAGGATTGTCTGGTCCAAACTCAATTATTTACAGACCGCCGTCATATAGCTAGAATAATGCTGAGTGCGGCGTTATACAACAAACAAACAAACAAACAAACAAACAAAATCATGCCTGAATACTAGTGCCCACAATTATTTTGATTTTTGTGGCCATTTTGCCAAATATTACAAACAATCGAACGTGTCTTCCCATTGTTTCAGTTTACATCAATTCACGATTCAATTATCCCCCAAGCTCCGGACATCCATATTTCGTTCCTTATAGCAACTTATGACACATTTCTCACGCGGTGCAACAGCGCCCTGAAGAAACAGGATCGTTCCCGTCTCTCGTTGCTTTACAGACTCTTTATATGTTAATATGTGGATGTTTTTCGCGATTTTATGTTTAGCCCTCGCATTCTAAAACTGATATCGTTGTACATGAACTACTTGGAGACGTCTCAAGTGCCTGGGAACCCACCTTGTTGAAGATGATGACAACTGATCATTTCATTTTGAAGATGTCAATCGAATCTTACTATCCCAACGACGTCACAACAAAAAAACTTCACAGCTGAAGACTGTTGACGTCATCTGACAATTATGGTTTTCTATCAGTCGTGACAGTGCATTTTTCTGAAGGGGAGCTCAAAAAGATTAAGAATCAAGAAAACAGCCTTGACGTTATCTCCAGCCAAGGGGCACATTAGAATTTTATTTATTCATATCGCAGTAATATAAACCCTTAAAAAGAGATAGGCACTAAGGTTGCTTTATGTGAAATGTATACACACAAACACACACAAAAGGCCCCTTCTCTGAAAAAAATAATTTATGGCAGCAATTCTTGAATCTAGTCTTGATAAGTATCTTTTAGATAATCTTGCAAGTTTCATTCATGTCACTTCAGTAGTTTCTGAAGAAAACTGGAAAATAACGGATCAAGGGCCGTAACTGTGTAGTCTCAAAATCGAAAAGCATGTAGCAAGGGGAGTACGACAGAAATTTTCGACCTCAGTCTTGATATTTATCTCTTAAATATGCTTGCAACGTTTCATGAATGTAACTTCAGTAGTTTCGGAAAACGTGTCCCCAATTCACGCAGTATGCACCAAATTGAAAAGCACGGAGGAAGGGCCATAACTCTGTAAAACAACAACTAATTGAAACACCAATTTTCTAAATTATTTGAGATGGTGACCGATAACAGTGTGTAAAATTTCATTTCTATAAATTAAAGAGTTTTTGAGAAGATTTGTCCCCACTGAGAATTGCCCGACCGAAGGAAAGACGGAAGTGCCAAATCAGCTGATCCATGAAGTCCACAAACTAAAGTTGGCTGCTGGGGGCCTATAGTCTTACTAAAATCCCCAAAGGTGCTAACATTGCATATAAGCTAACAAAGAACAACATATTTGGAAGTGTTTATTCACATATGTGCTACAGTCACGGGTTGGCCATCTACACACAGTACTACAAACATCTACGTCATACAGTTAATGTCTTTAACATTGTAGCAGCTCATACTCCTAGCCAGGCTGGGACATTCTCCTGTGCAACACTTGGATGACAGAAATCTCCCCAAAGAAAGACAATCAATTTCATTATATACTACCAAAAACAGGTTACAGAGCACCACAATTGAAAGGCTGTGTTGCAATACTCACCAGCCACGACATATTCACTAGGTCATATGAAAAGTTTTGAAAACATTAGGTGTTCTTTAAACTTGAAACTGCTCTCAACACATTGTGGTCACAGATGGAACTATTCAAACATAACTGAATGTCAATGTTAGCATTGTTGATACTTATTGAAAAAAAAGATTTATTATTATTTTCTTGTCTACACACCAAATGCCCCCCCCCCCCCCCCCCCCCCCCCCCCCCCCCCAAACTGGATGGTGAAATAAGGCAATGACAAAATAATGCTCCTGATCTCCTACTCGCTACTCATAGATGCCATTATTGGATTCCTACTGCTGTACCCTAGAATGTTGATGTACATTTATACAGTGAGTGAGTGAGTGAGTGAGTGAGTGAGTAAGTGAGTTTTATGCCGCTTTCAGCAATATTCCAGCAATATCACGGCGGGGGACACCAGAATGGGCTTCATACATTTAACCCATGTGGGAAATCAAACCCGGGCCTCAGCATGACGAGCGAACGCTTTAACCACTACGCTACCCCACTGCCCCCCATTAATACAGCATCACGGTCCGACCGACAATGAGCCATGATAGAATGAACACTCAGTTGATGCCATGATTCCATGCATGCATTGTAAACACAACTGATTGCTGCTGTTGAGCATGACATGGACAATGTTGATGAATTCACAGTTTGAACAGGTGCCCTTTCCTGATGCTCCTCCACAAAACAGTGCATCAACAGGAAGCACACTGTACAGTCAGGTATTGACTCAGGTAACACATTTCCTTACATATGATATGATAAAGAATGGGTGAACATGAAAGTTGCACATCCACTGCAAAAACAATGATTTCAACCATTTGAAAAGCCAGACATAAAAATTAGCACTTGCTCAACAGTTTGTATCATGTTCATTGTATCCTCTGGGCTCGTTGAAATGTTTATGTATTTATTGCCACTTTCTCAGCTGGGACTTTCTACGGTATTTCCTATGGCTGAACATGGAAGTAGCTGACATACTTCCGCATCTCAAATCATGACATAGACATGCTTGATGATGATGATGATGATGAAAACAATCCTGTCTGCCATTCAGTCCATGCACACAACGGTCCTCTGCATGTTGAAATCAGTGTCGAGTGAGATGATGATTGTGCTCATGGTAGATCTACAGATTACCTGGAAAAATATGTACAAACATTAATTCAGAGATCAGATTCATAACAGAATATTGTAAATTTTACATTAAATTGAATATTTACATACTTATCCTATCTCATATGTGAAAATATGTTTGAACAAAGTTTCCAGCTTCTAAAAACAACTCACCCGAACACATCCCAGCATTATCATGGTCACCACCCAAACAAATCCTGTGCATAGCGACCTACATGACCTGATCACATGGTTGGTGATACTGGGATGTGTTCGGGTGATTAGCTTTAAGATGCTGGAAACTTTGTTGAAGCACATTTCCACATAGGATCAAAAGAGGAAGGAAGAAATGCATAGTGTGAGATAGAAAGCACTGCTTGGCATCAAGCACTTCCTGTCCAGCAAAACTACTAGGCATCAAGTGTCTTTTTCTTTTTCTTTTGTTTGTTGTTTATCGTCGCACTCAGAAATATTCCAGTTAAATGATGGCAGTCTGTAAATAATCAGACAATCCAGTAACTGACATCACGATCATCAATCCACGCAACTGGGATACAATGACATGCATCAACCAAGTCAGCATGCCGGACCACCCGATCCTGTTAATCACCTCTTACATCAAGCATAGTCACTATTTACAGCAATCATGGGTTGCTGAAGACCTATTCTACCCCGGTTCTTCAGTGGTCGCATCAAGTATCACATATCTAGTAAATTCATGAGCATGAAGCATTACCTGTCCAGCATCATGACGTCCTGCAGCTTCCTGCGAGCATCGTTGACGCGTGCCTCCTGGCGACGTATGTCCTCCTCATGAATCACCATCTGCTGGATGTGTGGCTGGGAGGTGTCGATGTTCACACCAGGGTTCTTCTGCATGGCTGACTTGCTGGCGTTCTGCCCTGTGATTGGGACGCTGCTCAGGTGGAGGGCTGCAGAGATACTCTGGAACACATTCTCTGTTGTCATCTCTGGCCCACAACCTGAAAATGAAGTGGACTCCAACACTCTAACAATGCTAGGACACCAGCAGAAACGTGCATCGTATATCTGTTTCAAGTGATAACTAATACAGTGTTCAATTTCTCCAATAATACAGAATACTAAGTTTAATGACACAATCACTAAATGTTTGAAGGTGAAAGAGACCTCAAGAAAAGAAGAGGGGTTGAGTTATTGACTAGCAGTGGGCATACCATGCAAGCCAATCTGCTTCCCAACACTCATTCCTGAGACGGCGTCATTATAAGCCAGTTATCTGTAGACTATTGCACAATATCAATATCACTGAGGACAGTAAAGTCTGAGCTAGGCACACCAGTGGTTGAGAGCATGAGCACAGATACAAGCTGTCTGGGAAATCTGACTCACTACAAACTAAGTCAACCATTGTGGTCCCGGTCCTCATAACCGATGGCTTGAACGACAACCATGGGGTCGTAGGGACCCTTTCTGACCCCAAATACTCACAGATACATGGAACAAATCATTGAGACTAGGGACCCAATCTGACACAGGGTCACCACAAAAGTCTGGAAGGTAATTTAAGGTACCGACATTTACTACAATATTTGAAAAACTATCGGACCCACTCCAGTCAAAGTTGGTATGAGATTATTAAACAGTCATACATAACTGGATATTACATTTATTACACACATTGAGACACCCAACACTAACACCGTATTCGTTTGTGCGTGATTCCCTTGCACCCTTTCGAGTTGAGTTGATTGGTTCAACTGTGTCATATGGTCCTGTGACGCAGGGGTAGCATTATGCAGATGGCTGTTTCAATGAATGCTCGTTCCACCTGTGACGAACAGGTCTGGTTGTTGATGAAATATAGTGATAGCTAAATAGCCAGATTTTTTATTCATGCACCGATTGTCTTTAAATGTAATATCCAGTTATGTATGACTGTTTAATAATCTAATACCAACTTTGACTGGAGTAGGTCCAATAGTTTTTCAGATATTGTAGTAAACGTCGATACCTTAAATTACCTTCCAGACTATACATGGGCTTTCAAGCAACCAAGGACATAGCACTATTCTGACCTGTTATCCACACAGTATGTCAAGCAACTGAGGACTTAGTACTATCCTGACCTGGTATCCACACAGTATGTCAAGCAACTGAGGACCTAGCACTATCCTGACCTGGTATCCACACAGTATGTCAAGCAACTGAGGACCTAGCACTATCCTGACCTGGTATCCACACAGTATGTCAAGCAACTGAGGACCTAGCACTATCCTGACCTGGTATCCACACAGTATGTCAAGCAACTGAGGACCTAGTACTATCCTGACCTGGTATCCACACAGTATGTCAAGCAACTGAGGACCTAGCACTATCCTGACCTGGTATCCACACAGTATGTCAAGCAACTGAGGACCTAGCACTATCCTGCACTGGTATCCACACAGTATGTCAAGCAACTGAGGACCTAGCACTATCCTGACCTGGTATCCACACAGTATGTCAAGCAACTGAGGACCTAGCACTATCCTGACAGGGCCTACTTAACCTGCACTGACCTTGCATGTTCTTGGGCAAGTCCATGCTGAGATTCTCGACCTCCTCCACTAGGTCGCGGGCAGACTGACTCTGGAGGCGCTTCTCCCAGAATAGCTGAAATAGCACCCAGAAGGATGTAGCTTTGTCATGTCTACATATTGACCATTTGTCAAGGGGTGGCAGACAATATTTATGTATCCTGGTACCGTGTGTCAACAATGTGTTGCTGATGTGTCAAACATGTGTTGCAAATGTGTTCTGTCTTCACGAGTTTGTTTTTGATTGCTTGTCTGTTGTTTACCGCCACACTCAGCAATATTCCAGGTATATGACGGTGGTCTGTAAATAATCGAGTCTAGACCAGACAATCCTGTGATGGACATCATGAGCATCGATCCACGCAATTGGGATACAATGACATGCATCAATCAAGTCAGCAAGCCTGACCACCTGATTCCGTAAGTCGCCTTTTACGACAAGCATGGCTTGCTGAAGACCTATTCTACCCCGTATCTTCATGGGTTGTCTTCATGAGAACATCTTTAGCTAGGCTTTCACTAAATACACTTTGGTCCTTCTACATTAATCAAATCAGGTTTGAGTTAAGAGGAGATGCATCTATGCTTCTGCATATCCAGTAGAGTAATATTTTGTGAACAAACTCAACTTTATAAAGAACGGTTAATGATGCTCTGTTGAAGAAATGAACAGAAAGTATGTTAGCGCAGTAAGCCTAAAAATAAGTTTTTAATGAGAAGTAATTATATTCTTGTTGTTGAAAGCAACTCGTTACTAAAGCTCAATTGTCAAAACGAATGTGAATGAATTTGTGAGGGAAATTGCAGATATAAGTTTTTAATTGTGGGGATGGTGGGGTTGAAAAGAAAAAACATGATTTGATTGTCAAACAGACTGAAAAAAAGGATTTTTAGCAAAAACAGTTTGACTTTAAAAAAGAAAACAAACAGAGCAAAACGCATAAGTTCAACAAATTGGTATTCATAGGCGGAGATAAACGTAGATGGCAGTGACTGGATTCTTTTGTTCAGTCTGTCATAAAAATCTCTAACTTAAAGGTTAATTACAAAAAATGGTAATAATAACTGAGAACATAAAACTTCATTAAATGTGAAAGGCCAAGTGAAAATATTGCAGGACAAGTACAAAGTAACATATACTTGCCCAGCAAGACAAGTTGCGTTTAAGAAATGTTTTCAGTCCTAAACCTGTCAGCAAGTGAATGTACGAGTTATCTCCCCTGGTTGGATACTTGAGACCAAGACAAGAACTCCAGTCCTAGAATGTGAAGATGTGAGTTATCTCACCTGGTCGGACAAGAGACCATGTAGACTGGCCCCTTGCTTGAGTACCTGGAACCCTAGATGGAATAATGTCGTGCTTTGAGCATGCCCCTCCATGGTGTGGAGTCTCGAGCTCTATAAGTCACCTATTGTCTTGCATTACATAACGTTGTTAAAGCCTGTTGTCTACCTGCTTGGGAGGGTCCTGTGGCCCATGCTTTAACTCTGTCTTGGTCTGGCTCTCCGGTCTGTTCCTGATCACTGTCACCGGCTGCTTGAAGATAGAAGCCGTCTGTCGGATTGGCAACACCAGGCTAGCATCATGACGAAGTCCTACAAGTACAAAATATCACCATGATTGGCATTAAAACATGTTCTATCTTCATACGCCATCTTTAGGTTTTAAATCCCACAATATGAAAGCAAATGAAGTAATAATGGATAATCTTGATAAGCATAAAGTTATGTATTACTTTTCAAATTTACAATAAAAGGAATTCTTGTTAAATACTAATGCCACACTGTACATACGTATTCATAGGAAAGCTTCATTATATTAGGCCTTATGCTACACCATTGTAATTAAAACTATTACAAAAGATGAAAATTACAAATGTAACGAAATTAAATTTAACATTTACGATATTTATGATGGAATGAATAAAATCGAGTATACAACATGTATTATAACCATGATAACACTTATTTTCTTAAATGTACATATTTCACATTATTAGTGTCTAGTCATTCCTTTTCATGCTTGTGCTTCAAAATTGTAAATATCAATGGAAGAAAAGTGTTAATGAAGTAGAATGACAAGAAAAGAAAGAAACAAACCAACTTCAACAAGATGAAGTATTTTTATGTCTTGGAAAACATGGTATATGAAAGAAATCAAAAGCATTGGGTCAGTGTCAAATGTTTTAAAGTGATTTCTCAAAACATGGAAAGGTAGAAGAGCGAAATAACAGAACAGACATGTATGCAAGATACTTGCTTCTTGAAATGTGTCATGACCTTTGAGAAAAAGAGTTACTTCAGATATCAATCTACGCTTTAGAGTTGCCTTCAGTTGCAATTGGTTAAAAGACTTGACATGCTTGACAAGACAAAAAAAAGTAAGTCAACCCCTCGACTACCCTGGCACCAACACTTTCAAATGAACAAGTAATATGGTTAATATGGTTGATAAGAAACTAGATAACATTCTATGAAAGCATAAACAGGTTTGGTTAGTAAGATTATTGTGATTAGTAGATAATGAAACATGATCCTCATTTGTATAAACTATCACCATCAGTTTTGAATGAGATACAGGGACACTACTGTTCAACACAATAGGAGTTTCAGTTGAATTGTAGACATGGCCTTCTTCCATATGTATACAGGTTATACAAGACATACACCAGTATTGCTCCGTATTGAAACTAGACCTAACAATACCAGCTGGTTACTTTAAAGGTGAGGTGAAATTGGGGTTAATGTCGCGTCCAAGATTATTGCACTTATATGGCGACGTGCATGCACGTGTGTGTGGCTGCTTGTGCTAGTCCGGAGTGATGCCGATTCATAGTGCTAGCTCACTGAGAAACCATGCTGCAGTTTAACGTGAATACCCCACTCAGACACAGTTTATTTCGAGCCAACCTGTCCTTGTTTTACCCCCTTCATGCCGAGCGCCAGACAGGGTAACAACAAGTACCATCATTTAAGGTCTTTTTCTTATGCAGACCCCGAACCTTCCGCTCTCCGGGCGGATGCTCTATCACTAGACCACGGAGGCAGTCCTTTTAAAAATTAAAGCATTAGGTAATGTGTTGGTACTACCATCACACGTTAGTTACAGCCCCAATGTGTTATGTCTGTGCTACTAAAGATGTTTGCACAGACAACAAAGAGTTTTTTCATAAAATAAGGTTTCTCATTACTGTATGAATCAATCATCACTTTCAATGTTCCTGTAATCCAGACAAGCTGGCACCGAGAACTGTCTGTTTAGACTTCTTCTTTGTTTACCTTAGTGCCTCAGTCAACAGCTCATATATGGATTTCTACTTCTTACTAATCTTAGACAAAAAAACTCTTTGATTGTCAAAAGTGCAAACACCCATGTCATGCAAAAATAAAATCAATCCAATATCATTGTTTCTGTTATTTTTCCAATGAATCATCCAACAACAAAATCAGTGATGTACTCATGAGCAACTGACTTTGTTTCTGGATATCTGGATTGATTTTATTCTTTTGATAAGGAAGTGTCTACCAATTTTTGAATTCCATGGTGGATGCTCTCAGTTAGTTGAAATAACATCATTTTCATCTTCTCAAATTTGAAAAATAAATTGAAAATCAAAGCAAATGCTCAGCTTACAGTTACACTTTTGTTAGACTTGATTATCATGATAATGCATAGGTAGATTAATATTACATAATATCATACAGGTTTTGAGCATCTCGGCCATTGTGGAAAATCTATGAAATTAGGTACTGGTAGACACTACTAATGACTACTAAAAGATAAATGAAAATGACCCAAACCATTGTATGTATATCTTTAACAAACCTCTGGCAAAGTCATAAGATGATCCCTTCATACGCTTACTTTTGCGAACTGCACTATAGATTATCCGCCCTGTGCGGAAATCAAATGCACTCAAATCAAGCGCATCACCAATTATACGTGCCAGCTGAGGTTTGCTTCTAATTTTTTTCCCATCAGGGCTGAAACGAAAAGTAAACATGATAAGCAAGTAGTTATGTTTTATTTAATTTTCTGCTTGATATTGATCATGAACAAACATGACATGTATCAGCAAGAGGTATTAGTTCTTATCTGAACCAAGAACACACTGATATACAGACCAATTTGTTTCTTTACTTAATAGCACAATGCTTTCACAACAGTGGTAAAAGATTTGTGCTCTCTTAATAAAGACTCATTAAAAGGTTTCCGTAATCATCTTACTGCTTAAAGGGGCACTGATCTAACGGACTGGTTGTTGCCTTTGTTATTGTTTTTCCCCCGTGAGTACCCGGATGATACGCAACGCAACTGAGCGTGACCAGAGACTGGGGTACCGTCTGCAAGGACAGCTAAAAAAACTTGGAGGCTGGAGGCAATATTTGTTTTACGCATTTTTGAACACTGATTGGTTAACTGTGATCTATAAAGATTTCGACAAAGGGCGCATGTTAATTCATTTCTTCAGCCTAAACAAACAGACAAAAAGAACAAGGGAGCTCATCAGATGTCGTCATTTGGAAATACCCCAGATGGTTATAGTTTAATACTAAAAACAGTATCCATGCAGTGAAAGCATTTTCGGATTTCGGCTTGCGTCGATAATACAATTACTACTCCCTTGTTGTCATCCACGTTTTCTCGTATAACCCTACACTTGTGTATTTGTCGTCATTCACTTGATCCTCAGTTAATGAATTTATTACAGGTACAATTAGTGGTAGCACCACTTATATTACCTGACAAAGGTTCCCATTTGGCATTTATTGTGTCTGGGGTAATTATTCAATCTAAATCCAGGTTTGAAGTGAGGTGAAATGTGTGTTATGTAATATGCACGTGGCAGCCCAGCAAGAGATGAATGATCAGTTGATTTACTTTTTTATGTAAATCAACGGATCGTTCCTAGTCATCAAAGGATTAACAGAAAATACGTTGATTGATTAATCACTGTTATCTTGCACAGTGGATATGTCAAGAGTGAGTGTTTACATGTCTAGGTTTACTAAAACAAAGGGAATACACTCATATCATGGCGCGAAGTGCCGATGTAAAAACAACATACTTTGTTCAAAGGGTTAACTGATAATACGTTGATTGATTGATCATTGTTATCTATCACTCAATGGATTTTTTAGGAACCGTGGACGCTATGAAAATAGTTGTCACGTGGGCTTTCTCAGACGACCATTGAGACTTGACACCTATGTAAAACACCTGAAACAATCCAAGCGATCAGTTGAGAAACGAACACGGGTTATAATATCCCGAAACTATATACATGTATATCTTTTAAAATATTTGATTGTTACAGAGACACGTGACATTGAATAAGTTTCTCTGTACAGCTGCAGACGAGTGGGATATTGTTCCTTTGTGTGGATATTCACGGATACATTCCTCGAACAAGGAAGCTGCCTAAAACTTATACACATAAATTTGGTAGGTTGTAATTATGATATCTGCATTTTGTTTTCCTTCATTTGAACCGATTCGTTCTTGTTTCTCTACGTCTTGGTTGGGAAATTCTTCAATGCGCAATAGACGTTGTTGTCACAGGTCTTTTCCTTTGTAAGCGTGTATATATTACCGTCAATTTGTAAAATGTGATTCTCTCAGGCAATTTATAAAATGTGTAAATATTCAGTCATTTTGACTAAAAAATGCTAGATTGATCAACACGATCAAAAGGGCCTACAAACATCACAACAGATTATTATGTCGGATTAAAAGCCAAACAAATTAGAAATGTACTTTTCAATGTTACATTTTCAGTCTCTTGGTGATGACATTAAACATCAAAATGTCTGGAATTCGTTGTCATAATAATACAGATGGAAATGTTTTTCAGTCACTTTGTAAAATAACTGAATATTTAGACGTTTAATAAATTTGTTACACATTTGACAGTAAAAAAATATACACACTATAAAAAAGCATATGCTCAGGTGAAATATATACTTTGTGTTGCAAGTAAAAATAGTGTAAACGAAAATCGCAAAATTACCAAGCAAGTGACATCAAAACTTCGTCACCATTACCGATGCTACTCACAAAGATACATACATTTCCTTATTATATCGAAAACTGTATTTCATTTTGTTGATCAATGTGACCATACGCCCTTATTACTACCCATAAAAGTGACTAATGCGCTTACGAATGGCGCAGCAGAGGTCGCGAACTAGTCTAGATTTCTGCTATACATCCGGGTATTCACTGGGAAAAAACAAGAACAAAGGCAACAACCAGTCCCGGGGAATTGCGTTAGATCAGTGCCCCTTTAAATATGATTATTATATGACATCATCTGTTTTGTTTTAAGTGAGAGTCAAGCTGTACAGAAATAGACAGTAGTAGTACTAGTAGACAGCCATTTTATTTTCAGGTATTGTGACAGTGATATTTGAAACTGGAAGAAGGTAATGCCGGTATCTGTGTCACTAGAGTCATAAGCATATACTGTTGATTGAACTAGATCATAAAGTTTTACTGAGCAGCCGAATAAAGTGAACCTTCTTGAAACTTACAAGAAATGTTTTGGGGTTTTTTTAAATTTAGTTTCCTTGGATTTTTAAATTGTAACTAGGCTACTGGTAGTCATGGTAGTGTAGAGAATGTGACAGTATAAGAGTAACATAGAGGCCTTAAGGCATATGGTAATTGTTTCAATTCCATGGCCAATGTTGTCACTGATTCCATGGCACACATTTCTCTCTAAATCATACGACTACTGGGCTAATCTGGATGAAAGTTACAGATACTCAATATGTAAATCGGTGAACGAAAACTGAGGGTCTGTACTTTGAAACTTGACAGCTTCAGCAATTGCAATGCTATCCGTTTTTTACCTGTAGTAATACACGTCTGTTTTGCCAGCTGAAAGCCCTGATTTACGGACAACTTCCTCTCTTTTCCAACCTGCTGGAAGGCCACCGGTTTCAGGAACTCTTCTCTTCGGTTCCATTGTTAGTCACAGAAAACCGGAAGTAACCATCTAACACCTGCATAGCAGAACTACTTTAGCATTGTACAGTTCGTATTATTTTATATGTTGAAATGCATCTAAGTACTCCGAAATCAAAAATAAAACTATGGTCGACTACGTAAAAGTACATTTCCATATACTAAAATTACAAACTATGGAAATATATTTCGATTGACTCGTAATGTGGTTCAAATAACATATTCTTCCGCTTCACGGAAGTAAACAGTAGAGGCGTCTGCTCGCGGTACTTTCGAAAACCTTATTGATTAATATGTTTCCCATGTGGTCCAGGTACACATTGATCTATAAGATATTCATTTTTAGTTTAGATATATATTAATATGTGATCTTGCACAGTTTCATCAGTTTCACAGTAGCTGAGGTTTTCATTTCATCTTATCGATACAGAAAATGTCCAGTTTTCGATCGTGCATGCGCTTGAGCGTAACAGTGTGTTTATCTTTCCAGAGTGGCCTAACACACACCACCGGTGGACGTGTGATGTACGAGTTGAGATAATGTTTCATGGACAGACAGCTTGGTTTTCATCCAGTGTACCCTCTAAGAGAGTTCGACTTTGGAGTAAGTGAAAACAATATGGTAACAAATACTAACAATGCAGTTTACCGGGCGCAGCTTACTTGGACCACGGCAAATTGGACCAGGCAGAGATTATATATATTAGTATATGGTCTCTGGCCCAGGCTGGGTCTCGCTTCACACATCTCGCATGCTTCTTCGATCCTTAAGGGTAGTTGTGTCCTGGTTAGGGTAGGTTACCCCCAAATCTATCTTAGCCTTTGGATCCCCAATCCAATCAATCACTCCTTTACGATCATTAAGGTTAGGTATTCCTTTCCGATCAAACACCCCTTCATGATCCTAAGGGTTGGGCACCACTTGCCAATCAAACACTGCTTTACGATCCTTCGGGCTAGTTGTGAAGTAACGTATGGGTAGGCTATCTATTTTAACGAATAAATCCAGTGTAAATTGAAAAACTCAATATAATTTTCATCGAGTTTCGTGGAAAGATGGCTTTTGCACATGCTCATAAAGGTAAACAATCGGGTGCTGATGCTGATTTGTGATAGCACCCATGGTCCCATGGTAGGTTGTTGGCTAATTAGATTAATTCATTAGCCTAGCTTAGCTTCAAGCTGGCAAAGTTAATTCGATCCTCCAATCAGCGCTAATTGAAATCCGAAAAAGTGTGCCCGGTAAAATGCAGTACTCCGGATTAAGACCAAATGTTGGCAGCTGGGTAGGGGGACTAATCTCCACAGACGTGGTTTATTTCAGGACAGTCAGTTTTTTATGTGAAATGAGACATTTTCTCAGTATAATCAGGCATAGTTTTGGGCCTTGTGTTTTTAGCCCCTAAATTTGAAAAAAGGTCCTCATTTTCAAATACAATGGGGCGTTTTAACATGGGCAAGTGTGGGTGTTCCTCTGGAATATTTGAAATTTTTACATAAAGGGCCCATGTCAGAAAATTCCAAGAGTGAATCCTGTATAATGATGATAGATTGCTGAATTTTGATTAGACTTGTATGTTACATTGTAAGTGTGTTTCAAAACACAAATGAAGTCATAAATGTAAACAATGATTTTCTCTTGTAAGGATTTTTAACGTGTCCAAAGACAACTGAATGAACAAGTTTTGGTCCGTCTGCATAATGCTTGTATTGGTATGAACAGTCCTGATACTTAAACATGTTTAGGCTGCATATTTATTTCTGTCTATTTCAGAGCAGCATGATGGAAAAGAAGTTTCTATTGAAAAGGCACAATTTGTGTTCAGCGATGAATGTCAGGTTGCTGATACAAGAAAGTACGTTATTAAAAAGTTATGTTTTAAGTTATATAATTTGATCATCAAGATGACGAAGGGATGTGAGAATAAGGAATGCAAAAAGTGAATGGAATGATGTCAGAATGGTTGATGATTCTGTCAGAAATGTTAATATTAAAGCTATATTTGTACACTTTCCTATCTCATACTCATCTTCCCGAGGCAAGAGCGTTAACTGACTTTAAAAGTCCAGTTTCCACCCCTGCCGAACTAGGCTGGAATTACTGGGCTCGATCGTAGCGCCACCAGTGGCTATTACCAGTTATGTCCATTCTAAGCCTCTTCTATGGACCAATCAGATTCCACTTCTTGTATCACTTGTGTTTGCTTCACACAAAATGGTGGCGCCCAGTCATGACGATCTGATAGATAATAAAGATCTATATTGTGATAAAACGGGTCTTACATTGCGAAATGCATCAAATCACGTGAGCATCTTCATAAAAAACATGAAAGATTTGGAAAATATCTGCTGAAAACGAGTTGGCGGTGCACATGTTTTGCTAATCCTGCAATCGACCGAAATCTGCATGACAGTTTATGAACCGGATTTTGATTTCGGTGCGCGATTTTGATTGGACTATGCATAGACTCATTAGCCCAGCCAAAATGTAACTCCATAATACCAGCCTAGTTCGGCAAGGGAGGAAACTGGACTTTTAAACTCAGTTAACTCTCTTGCCTTGGGAAGATGTCTCATACTATGCATTTCTTCTTTGATCCTATGTGAAAACGTGGCGAAACCGCATTATCAGTGGTTCGAGAAGGGAGCTAACTCCGTTTACCTAATCCAAAGTTCGAGGTGGGCCCACATTCGAAACTAAACGCACTTGTTGTTGAGAATATGTACTACGTAAACAAACCTGCATTACGAACTGCTATTTTGTCTATTTAAAATAAGTATTATGACTTATAATTGGATTAAAATGTACAAATGCGATGGCAATACAGCAGAACTCACTTCTACGAACATCGCCAAACTAGGTCGTCGGGTCATTAATATTCATGAGTTAATCCTTTTTTATGGAACAAGTTCTCGGAAACGTTTGAGGCTTGTATCATGTCCGAGATCAATTCAAGTGTAGACATATTTTCAGGCTTATATCGCCACCAACACTTATGATTAGAATGATGTGTTATACTGGAAAAAGTAGAATGAGTGGTATTGCCTCTGTAAATTTAATTTGAAGTAGATCTTGCTTTGTAACTATTTTTGTAAAACTAGTGTGGTCAGCTATGACGACGTTATTCAAACTTCAAAGACTTTCGTGCCATTCGTGAAATTAACGTCACACGAAATGATTTTTAAAGATATTTCCCATCAATATTACAAAATAAGAATAATATATAATGTCACATACCCATGCAAAGTAATGACAAATGTGAGCCCACTAGCCTAAATGACTTTGTCAACCCAATGAAACCCAGCGATTTACAAATGTGGGCCCACCTGTTTCGATCACTATAAGACAATGTGGGCCCACATGTTAGAAAATGGTTATAAGTAAGCCAAGCTTATGAAGCTTGGCGATTTTTTAATGTGGTCCCTCCCGTTGCAATCACTATGATGGAAGAACGTCTATCCACTAGGCGATATACAAATGTGGGCCCACTTGTTTCGATCACCATATATGACGGGAACAATGTTGGCCCACATTTGAGAAAATGATTATCAATATTTAAGTAGAATATCGCGATAAATAAATGTGGTCCCTCCTGTTGCAATCAATATGACGGAAGAACGTCTGCCCACATTTAGGAATTGATTATCAGAACTAACGAAGCTAGGCGAAATACAAATGTGGGCCCACTTGTTTCAATCACCATAGATGACGGGCAAAATGTGGGCCCACATTTTAGAAAATGCACTAAAGCACTATCAGCACTAAACCAATCTTAGAAGATGTACGGATGGAAACATAAATATATAATGCATTCCAACATTTAATTAAGAATACGTTTTACCTTAGGGATAAGCTGGGCATTTAATAGTTGGACAAACAACGTACAGCGTGGGTGACGCCATTTCTTGCAAATACGAAAACAACGGAGATAGCTCCTGTTTGAAATTAGAGTGACTTCCCTTTCCCAAAATGAACCACTGATAATGCGGTTTCACCGAAAACGTGCTTGAAGAAAGTTTCCAGTTTCTAAAAACAGTTCACTCAAACACATCCCAACATCACCAGGGTCATACAGCCAACAATTGGGTCATGCACATAATCCCGTGCATAGCAACCTTACCCGTCCTGATCGCATGTCTATATTGGCCACATCATTCTCTTTCGCATCGCCACACAGTGGAGACATGTTTGTCAGTATAGAGAATACATTTTGGTTTTTTTCCTTTGGTTTCACTACCTTTATAGTTTAGCCGTTTCTCTCCTCATCAAGGGGAAAGGGCTGCCTAGACATACTTTTTCCAACTCAGATCCACCTGCGTGTTGCTGTAATTGTCAGGGCAGGTGCGGCTTTGACACATGCTATTCTGAATAGAATCACCCTTCGGAGGCAGAATTTGTTGTCTACTTACACAAATCTCGAGATGATGGCTTTCTTCGTAGTTCGTTCCTCCTGATCCAAGACAAGATTACGGCAATCCTCAACCTCATCTCTTATCAGGCATGTTCCATTATGTCCCTCCGTCGTAGGGGAGTTCTCCAGCATTGTCACTGGAATGAGCAGTTTACAGCTTCCTTGGTCCTCTCTTTTTGCAGGAAGTGGCTAAAGACATACAAAGGGACACTCATCTGCAGGTTTCTGTTGACCTCTGTCTTCACCGTCAACATTTGGAGGATATTGTTGATCTTTTGCCTTCTCGTCTGGGCATGCTTCAATCCCTTGGGTGTGATTGATAGCCTTGACGAAGAGTTAAATGAGATGCCGAGCAGTTGCACTCTATTTTCTTTCGGAGATAGTGCTGCATCCTGTCTTGTAGAATCGATTGACTGGTGACCTGTTCCAGATTGATTATAAGTCGTACGCTGTAGTGCTTGTTTCTTAACAGCTACACGGTTGTTCATGAAACGATGTCTCATGTGAAAACACATTTTGCATGTTATACACAATCTCATGCAGATCTCATTAGTGTATTTCGGGATCGTTTCACAGTTGTTCGTATGTTTTCCCCATTCACGAGTTCTTGTCATTTACAACACTGGACAGTGTTTCAAATTTATTATTTATGTCCCTGTTTGGAACCACCTTCCTCGTGTACATCTCGCGGTTGTAGTCTTTCCATGCTCGGGATTCTGTGCCCATGTTCTAAAAATGTGGGATAAATGCATAGTGTGAGATGGGATAAGTGTAACAATTTGGAAATTTCCTCTACATTGTATATTTATATACTTATCCTATCTCACACACTATATGCCCACCTGACCATCCCTGTATTATTAGCTCCTTTAGCCTGTTAGCTCTGACAAAAGAGAATGATGTTGCAGATCAGGTCATGTGAGGGAGCTATGCACAGGCTTACATGTGTAACCCAGTTGTTGGGTGTGTGACCATGGTGATGCTAGGATGTGTCCAGGTGAGTTTGGTTTTAGAAGCTGGAAACTTTGTTGAAGCACATTTCCACATAGGATCGAAGAAGAAGGAAGAAATGCATAGTGTGAGATAGGATAAGTATATAAATATACAATTTATTGGAAAACTTCTGAAAATCATCCCAAAGACCTATAAGTAATCAAATCTAGATTGGACAGCCTCTGTGGTCTAGTGGTAGAGCGTCCGCCCGGAGAGCGGGAGGTCGGGGGTTCGATTCCTGACCGCGTCATACCAAAAGACGTTAAAAGATGGTACTTGTTGTTACCCTGTCTGGCCCTCGGCATTAAGGGGCTAAAACAAGTCTGGTCGGCTCGGAGTCAGTATACTGTGTCTGAGTGGGGTATTCATGTTAAACTGCGGCATGGTATCTCAGTGAGCTAGCACTATAAATCGGCATCAGTCCGGACTAGTACAAGCAGCCACACACACACACGCATACACGTGCATGCACGTAGCTATATAAGTGCAATAATCTTGGACGCGACATTAAACCCCATTTCACCTCACCTCACCTCAAATCTAGATTGGCATGATTAGTGTCAGCAATGATCAATGCTGTCTGTAATCCATAACATAAAATCAGAGTGGTGACAGCAGTGATCTCTGTTAACATGCAGTAAAGATGGAAGAATTATTTAGCTCACCTGACCGAAAGTCAAGTGAGCTCATGTTGTGTATGTGTAAAGCCTCTTTTTCTGTCATGCGTCATAAACATTTCCTTTGAAACCTCTGGACCAATGAAGCTGGTACTACACATGCTTATTCCCACCAGTGATGACACTCCTTTTTGTGGAAGAGATTCAAATCTGATTTTCAATATGACAAACACAGCAACTGTATTTAAAAACCTATTTATGGGCGTTGATTGTCCATTTTCTCCTCAAAATGTGCTTTTAACTTATTTCACAAGTAATATTTGGCTCTGTAGACATCTCCTTGAAATTGCCAGCATGAGATGAACTTTGGCATGTATGTTTCTCCATATGACATATTTTGTTGAAACCATTAGATTTAAGTGTTAGTTTTGATGCAGAAAAGTTTTGACTGTCAATGAAACAGCAACCTTGTCAGGTGTCTATCTTTGTTGACATGTTAAACTGTTGACTTGTAAAGGTTTCCTTCTGCATGTTTTACAAATGTTTAGATGGATAGAAAGTCATGATTTTAAATGTTTACTGAAGACAGCATTCATGTTTCTAGTATTCCTTCTTAATGGTACTGTGTGAACAGGTTGTATGACAGCAGTGCCTACATCAACGAACACCTGGCCATCTTTCACTCTGCCTACATCTCGGAATGTGTCAGGAAGGAAGACATGACAAAGGTGGTACTGGGAGACTACTTTCTGCCACCTCTGGAAGTTATGGAAGGTAAATTTATATCACATATCAGTGATAAAAGGGTTACAATCTTACACAACTGACTTCAGGTGTCTGCATGTTATACATGGCCTTTCTCTTGCCAGCTGTCATTGAATACATTTTATGCTATGTTTATGTATACTAATTTTGCTTTGTCATGATAATGTGATGAAAAGATTCTTATTGGAAAAAGAAGTAAAACAGCATAAGAATAGTTCAGCTGTACACAATATAAGCCAGACACATCTTGATTTAGAAAGGTTATTTGAATCAAGCTTTGGGTTATTTGTAAAACACTTCTTAAAGTAATTCATATCATCTCACAAACTCGCATGTTTTCAAACATTAAACATCTCAAAAATTGTTTGTTTTCCCTATTTTCAGTGATCCGAGGCCAAACCAAATTAGCATGGGAAAACCATTCAGCAGATCATCTGGAGGTGAGGTGCATCATATTGTATAATGTTTACTTAGAATCTAGAATACATAAGATCAGGTATCTAGAAGCAAATATTTTTGGTCCAATGATATATCTTAAGTTTCAACATTCGTAAAGTTTTGTTCAGTAGACTGATTCATTACATTTGTCTCTCCATTTGTGTTTCTTCTAGGACTCTGATGAAGAATCTGTCTCAGAGGCAAGAGTGACAGGTACATGTAGTTCTTGGCTCATCACTGCAGACATTTGTAAAGCTGAGGAATGCATGATTTATTGTAGATATCTTTGATTGATCATAAGAAATAATTTATTCAAATTGGAGTCCAGTCAAGTGAGCATATACTTTACTGTTTTAGGTCCAACACACTCCAATTCAAGAAAGACAAACACGTCAATAGGTGATGTACAGGTGAGTTCTGATGGCCATAAGGTTAATTCATGTATCAATTTTATATTGGACAAACCCTTTTTCATATGACAATCTGAACAATTTTACTGTTAAATTGTTATATATTTGAGGACACAAAGTTCCTTGCTCTAGAAGAATGTGTTGGAAGTTAATGAAATGTGCACTTCCAGCACCAATATTCGCTACAAACAGTACTGGATGAATTCCTTGTCTGTACTAAAACATAATGACACAAGTGTAAGTGGACTTTCAAGAATAAGAATGGGCATGTAATGTTACATTAAACAGACCGCCTCCATGTGTGAGAGTGTCTCCGGAGAGCCGATGGTCAGTGATTTGATCACTCTCTGCATCAAATCAAAAGAGATAGCACTTGTTGTCTTACCTCATGCTTGGCATTAAAGGGGATAAAATAAGGACTTGTAAACTAAGAGTCTGTATGCTGTGTCTGAGTAGGGTATCCATGTTAGACTGTGGTATGGTATCTCAGTGGGTTAGCACTATAAAACTGGGATCAGTCCTGGCTGGAACAAGCAACCATGCATACACATATATATGTACGTCACCATATAAGTGCAATTATCTTGTAAGTGATGTTAAACCCCATTTAACCTTACTTCACCATACATTAAACATATTGTGTCGTGAGACAAAAGACCCCCAGTAATGATGATATAATTCTCTACAAAGCAGTTTCTATGAAACAAACCATGTGTGATAGTATTGATAGCAAAGTATTATTCCAAATGCAAGATATTGCAACCCTGATTATGCTCTATTAAAGCACATCAGTGTTACATATAGATGTATACTTTAAAGCCTGTGAAGAACAAACCACACTGAAATATAATGTTTTTTCTTGGTTTGTTTTATTTTATGTCATCATATTTTTTAAAATACTGATCGGAACATAGTTGCACAAACACACAAGAACTTGTGTCATTTTGATGACAGTGTAAAGTTCTCTTCACCAGTTTATTAATATTCAGATTTACTCAGACTATATTTGTAATTTACCCAGTAAAGAAAGCCAAATGGTGAAGAATGTAATGTTACCGTTCATTTACACTTTATCTTCATAATTATAGTTTCTATACAGAGTTGTGTCCCTTAGCCATGCTTGAAACCTATGCTCATCAGTTCAAATGCCAGGTTATTTTTCTAGGTTCGTCAGCACCATACTGTGCTTGTGGGTTTCACTACGGCAAACGTCTCAGGCCTGCATCATTTTAGGTTTCCCTCCACATGTTAACTGAAATATTGTTAAAAGTGGCATCAAACTTCACTCACTTAACCTCACTCCTGCATGTGAAAAATACCTGCTGTGTAGGCAATATATAACTGATGATTATATATGATGATTATGTTTCTTTATAATCTTATTCATCAACAATTCGGTATTTTAGAAGAATACAGCTGATAAGAGTCCACCAAAGGCAAACAGTAGACAACACCAAAACACTGAAGGTAAGGGAGGCTGTATCTGTAGCTTAGCAGAAACTGGTACATATTAACATGATCTTTTTCGTTTTGTTGTATGTCTTCCGAACTTTAAGAAATGTGAAATAGAATTAAAAATGTTTCTTCTTGTTGAGTCTGCCTGCAGCTGTAACACTGATGACCATACTGGCTGCATCATGAAAAGCATTCATTCATTCACTTGTATATTGTGCATGTATAAATTGTAAAATGTATACCTTCACCTCACAGTCGGCACCCTCTTTGTTTCAGGTGGTCAGAGAGGTAACACAAGTCAGGCAACTGATAAGGTATTTCATCAGCTCAGTGTTTGCATCATCCTTCTTGTTGACTAATCTTTCATATTATGCAAACAATCACTTGTACTCTATAATTTGTTAGTTTCTGCAGATTGTTATTACAGAGAAATAGAGAATCTCACCTGAGTGTCTTTTGATATCAAATATATCAACGAGTGTTGATATATTTGATGTCAAAAGACACAAGGGTGAGATTTTATTTATCATCCAACATCATTCTTCCAACTTTTTCAATTTGTAGACAGTAATTAGCAGTGTTTTCAGTGTAAAAAGTACTGCTAACAGCTTCAGTAGCAGAGCCATTAGTGATGTCATTTGATTGTGACGTCATGGTAACCGGTGACATCACTATGGTCTGCAAAGCATTGTGATGTAATTTCATTGCAACGATATCTACAGTGTAGACTGTAGATATCGCTTGATCTAATCCAAGGGATATCTCCTGTGGGAGCCAGTTTTGGATGATGAAACACCTTGTTCTCTGCATGTGTCTGAGTAATGACAACTGATAAGTAAATGGGTAATCTCATTAATATCAGATCTTTGTTCTCACAAAGATCTGAGGACATTCCATTACGGGTCACGTCAGAACAACCTTTCAACCAATCAAAGCGTCACTTACCAGATCATGAAAGTGACAGTCGGAATGTGTTTTCTGATCATGCAACCTCGAAAACGTTAACACGGGGTATTCCGAAAGACTGATTCCGTCAAAATTATCGTCTATCTCTCGGTTCCATGGGATAGACATTTGAACAGAAGAGGCGTTGCACAGTACGTGGGAAGCACTGCCATACAATCTCAACCATATATTAGACATCCCGGAATGTTCGTTTGTTCAGTTTTCCAAATTTTAATTGAGAACTGTGTCAACATATCTTTCAAGCGTAGTCTGAAATGGAACTCGCCAGGTTAAAACGAGTGCCGTATAGCTCGAGAAAGCTGCTTTCTAATTGGCTGATGTCCACTTCTTGTAAGTCATTTCAGTGGTCGGTGAAAGTTCGCGAAAGGTCGTTCTGACGTGACCCCTAATGGGATGTCCTCAGATCTTTGTTTAGCAGCAGCGAGAACTTAGATCTGATTTTAATGAGATTGGTAAATGGGAGAAATGTGTGAAAATGGTATTTTAGAGTTACCTCCCTTGGATTGAAGATGTTACCGTGGTTGTTTGTACTACATTGTACATGTTGTAGTGTCTGTAATAGGTAAGCCGCTGGTATTGTACGTTTCAGTGCCATGTGATGAGGGTCCTGAGCTGATCCTACCAGAGTGTGGTACAAATATTTGTTAGAAAACATCATTTGATTTTGAACATTAACATGTTGGAAGGCATTTTAATTATGGGTACCTCTATTTTCATTTGTCCAAATCTAGTCTTTCTCTATTTATGATCCTGAATCCTTGTTAGCATGGTTATTTTTAAAAAATTTGGGCCATCTTTAGTCAGTCGTTTATTCATGTGTTGTGAAATTTGATATGCAATAAAAATATCTTTTGCTGCTTTTTATTATTACTTAAAAAAACTTTGATTTCAATATATTGTGTTGGCCAAATTTAGGTAAAATTAGATGCCGGTGAGTGAGAATGTTTATTGGTAAAAATTAACGTTATTAATTAACCCTTTGAAGAATTATCATGATTATTATAAGCATTTTGAACAGCCGTATCTTTCCAAGTTATGCTGAACTGAAATCACAAGCATAAACACGGGGCATATACCATGTAAACATTGTACTGATTCAGAAAACAATTTGTTGTAGGCAAAAAGTGACAATTCAACTCAAAGGAGAAGTCCAAGACAAAGTTCCAAGAAGACCACTTCAACAACTGTGGAGAATGCAGATGAAGCAAGTGAGTGTTCCAAGGAAATTAAGGATACCATCTGTCACTATTTTCTGTTAGGGTTACAAAGTTAGACCATGAACTGTTATAGGTTTAAGTGACTTTGTATCAGGTCAGGGTCACTGTGAAAGTTGTTTATGAAGTAATTGTTACTTCAAGTAAGTTGCTTGCTCTTGGTGTTTCTGGTTCATGTTGTTCCAGCTGCAGATAGCTGCCAGCTGACTGATAGAGTGCTCTTGCAAAGATTATAGATGTATGCTGAAAGTACCTTTTAGTATACGACTTTAGCCACTAGTCCAAAACTTTAGACTAGTTAGTTTTATTTCGGTCTCGTAAGCTCAGGTCATAAACATCCTTATATTAACATAGTAAATCTGCTAAAAATTATGTCATATGACAAGTTCAGGTAAGCGAACCTGAAACTTTTGTTTTGGCACAAACAGGTTTTACCAGGTTGAGGTCAAGGTCAAGGTCACATTTTAAGCAAGACATTGAAGTAATGCATCAGAAATTTGTTCCTTTATCTCATGCCTCGTCTTAATGGCATATTCAATGAAGGTTAGGGTCATAATGTGACAATCACCTCAGACTTTGGAGTATTTCATCATAAATTCAAGTGACATTTACAATTGTGTTTGGGAAATATTATCATTAATGTAAATATATATATGAAATTTGCATATTGTTATCAGAACATTAATGTGAGTGAAGGTTTACTTTGCTTTTCGCAATATGCTGCACTGAAGAGGTTTACGTCAACGTCTTTTACCACATTATAGAGTCTACTGTTCATTACCTTAGTATGATCTTTTCCTTTTCAGATGTAGTGCATATTGACAATCTGCCGAAGGTAACAGGTGCTCTGGAGCCATTTTATCCTGGTCAGAATGGATGTGTTGTTTTCATGAAATCATGAGAGTGTGATGCATCTTACCCCAGGTAGAATCAATATTAAGGACTCTGTGAATAATCATGATTTCTTGATTCCTAAAATGTTTACATGGTAAACAAACTACTTTTAAAGAGATGCGCATGGTAAAACTTTAGGTTTGAAATGGTAAAAGTGTTTTTTCTCAGACTTTCTCATGCATGTATCCTGCTGGGAAAGTTAAATGTGTGTCTGTGAGGTTTAACAATGTTATGTATCTCTTTTTGGTGGTTTGTGATGTATGGTTGTCGGGTAACTTCAAAACAGGAATCTCAAGGGATAAGATAACATGTGTTCTGTCTAGCAATTCATTTTAAAGCCATTAACCTGTCAAATTTTTACCCCAAGTAAATTTGAGTGAGCTTTGTCTCATCTTGAGAGTATTTTTGCCACTAACAAGACAATGTTAAAGTGGAGAGGGGTTTTGGAACATAACTCTCATCTGACGAACAACTATGTGCATGTACAACCACCACAGTATAATGCGATTATTCAAGGGTGATAATATTCAAAAATTATTGGTTCAGAATAATGTTTTGGTTTACAAATCATAGTTATAACAGCAATAACATCTTTTTTAAATATGTTGAGGCTAATAACAGTCATCATGTGGAAATAATGGTTTCATTTTTAGTGTTAGGGATACATGGAATGATCCTTAGTTGGGATTTATTCAGTCATCCATATCGCTGCTGGACATCTTATGTAAGTTCAGATGTAAAGGTTGAGAACCAGATTCTTCATTAGGATAACAAGATGTTACTGAATTCTGTGTCAATTTGTTACATTCCAAAACATACTGGGCTAGCCAAAATTATCTGGATTTTATCACATCGTCAAAACAATGAGTTTTTTTTGGTGAAATATCTGATCAATTCAATTTATTTAAGAAATGTCATTTATTTTTTATATGAGATGTCAACATTATGTACAGCCTCTTTAAGGATGAGGATAAAACGTACAAGCTTTAAACATTTACCCCTTTTTCAATGATGATGATTCAAACAATAGAATCCGATCTTTGCAATGTCGGACAAGTCCACTTTATGCACAGGTGGGTATTTCCCACATATTCTCACAATCCTCATGTCATTTTATACATGCCTGTACCTTTTCTCCCAGTACCGATTATCTCTCCTGCTTTTGGATGCAATTGTTTGGTCATTGCATTTATCTGTTGTCCAGCTACATCTGTGGGGAGCAGCTGACTGGACACTCCCCTTTCAAAAATAATGTTGTCCAATATATGTTCATCAAGTTGCGAACGCATGTTGAAATCTCCAGAAATGACATCAAGATAGAATAATGTTTTATAGTGAAATAAACCACACTTCGTTTTTCTTTGTTCTTTGCAATTTATTACATAGCTATCTTATATTACAAGTTCCACTTTGACTGTATATGGGAAACATGTCTAATTTTGAAGAGTTGAATGTGCAGAGAGTATTTTGTCACTTATGTTATATAATGTAATATACATTGTAATTTGTATGTATATTTGTCATTAAACATTTTGCATTTTAAGTGGCTGTTTTATTAGTGTAATCTTTTGTTCCTTTGTGCAGTTAATTCAGTGTTTCTGTCAAGACAAGAAAAACTGATAATACACAACTCAATTATATTGATAGAAATCAAGACAGTCTTTGTTGAACTTTGACCTTGTTTTTGATGGACCAGACTGGCTTCACTGACTGTCAACAGCTTCACTTTAACAGAGTAGTAGCTAGCCCAATTCAAACAAGGCGACCACTGAAAGTATTTTACCTGTCTCACTATGTTTATGTTTAGATTGGATATCCTTCCATGTTATTTCACTTTCATATACATCTGTGGTCATCTTCTTTGATCCAACATGGCATTACACCTAACTGAAAGAATTTTACTGTCTGGGTCAGATAATGCTTAAAAATCAAAACGTAAACCGTCTTTCCACATCAGCCCATCAACTGACAGGCTAGGTCATAGGTTAATGGTCAATATCTGCAATATCTGGTATTTACCAGAGGACAGAAATGCTGAGGCTTATCTACACCAGGCATGGGTTTTTGGTGAGAACAGTCCGTTGTAAGACCAACATTCCAACATCTATGGAGCTCATTCTTCGTGTCCCCATTGTGCTATTGCTGGAATATTGCTGAAAGAGGCATAAAATCTCATTCACCAACTACAGGGAAGACACCAGTGGTCATATCCAAATAGTCCATGGCTCATTTGTTACTATTAGTTTATGTGTAACTAACTCTATTTGAGGAGAAAATGACTAAATTTTCACATTTTTTTTTACTGTGGCAAAGTTTGATTGCCAACAACGTCTAGCTAAATTTACTTGTTGCTGGAAGTCTAGCATATATCATTGCAAGGTTAGTGCTAGGTTAGGCATATGAGATGTGTGTTTGTGCAGTGATTAAGAAATGCTTAAGTTATGAATAGATAAAGTAGTGGAAAAAAATGTATTGGCTGCAACAAACATTGTAACAAATGCTTGGTACAAAGAGTATGTTTATCAAAAAGTAATGTAACTTATGAACATGGACACTTTATTTGTCTCAAGGACTTAATGGCTGAGTCATTATTCTTGTAAGGTATATTCTTTTGTTGAAATATGAAAAAGGATCCTGCATTATCAGACTTAAAATAGAGCATCAAAGTAATAAACTACTGCATGACAATTTAAATAAATATATATATAAATGAGCTGAATTTTAACTAGCCTGTATATTCATACAGCACATGCATATTGTGCAATTTGATCATTGTTGCCAGAACATTGTGTAATGCAGGTGCTTCGAATTAATGCATGAGCATACTCGTTAGTTACAGATAATCTTCAGCTGAAACAATGGGGTGATGCAGTATTTTAGTTCAGCATACGACATGCAACCAAGGGTGCAGGGTCACACAAATCAGGTGATGTTGGTGGATCATAAACACACAAGAAGAAAATGTGTTCTGTAAAATTTGATGTGTACCAAAGTAAATTTTATGGCGAGTGTAATGGGTCAGTAACACGAGAGCAAAAAGTCACTGTTACACAATTAGGTAATATCATTAGCTTAAAACTTATTGTTTTCAATTCTTCTCCCGTTCAGCATATCCTTCACTGTAAAACAGAACCAGATGATCGATGTTTTCTGGCACGCCTAGGAGATGCAGCTTCGTGATGACATTGATGATTAGGTCTGCCCGAGACAACTGAGTAAATAACATAAGGGTTTAGGCAATGGACCATGTCTGCAACCATGTTACTGAAAACAAAACAGAAGATACTGGGAATATTGTTTATTAAAATGTATGTCGGAGATATAACAAGTGTTTATATAACCAGGTATGTGTGGCAGCTGTTTTAGGAATTTGATATATCAAAGTAAAAAAGCATCAATCAGAATATAACAAACAACCTGATATATCATTACTGAAATGGCTCTAATAAAATTAGCTGAAGCTGTACCAGAGAGATCTACATGGACACTGTGGTCATACTGCAGGAACATGCAGATGGTTTTGATTTGGGAATGAACAAGTTTGCTGTCTACTTTGATCTTTAATCAGGTCCAAAAATTCAGGTTTTTAGCATGTCAACTCAAGATGGTTACTGATCTCAAGCCCGACATGTACCTGATGTGCCAGTTCAGCTTGATACTGGCCACAAAGTTGGCACAATCCTTGGTCATGGAAAAAATCCCTTAGGCCAGCCAAATTTATTTTCTTTTAGTGTTACCCTAACTTTAGAACAAAAATGTTGAGATTGAAGAAAAATCATTTTGTTTGCATTTTAGGAAATCGGACTCAAATCACTCATGAAATCTTTTTTCTGTGACCAGGAGTATGCATGAAACACAACAAAACATTTGTCTGGCCTTAAAAAATTGTTGAGGTTGTCTGCTGACAGCATGATTCCTGCAGTACAAATTCAGTTTGAGATTAAATAGTTAGGGACCATGTTCTTATGTATTCAAAATCAAATAGAACAGCCAAATAATTCAAATGAGATATTTGCATTAATAATTTAATATATAGTTTGTTCTGTTAATGTGTGATAATGCAATCACAGCTAATGACACAATTTCAAATGTGTTGAACACAATACATTAATTGTACAAATGTTTGGACAAGATCCCTGTGAGTGTGGTGACATCTCCAGTGTAGCAAGCACCATAAGATCATATTAAAGCATGCCATGTACACTACTTCTATCACAGATAACAAAGTAAATGTTTGCACAAGTATCAGCTAAACATATTTAACAAATATTCATAATGACTATTTCACAAGTATAAAATATATTACAAAATGAAAATAAAAACCATGAGAATGTACAAACATATTAATCAAAAACAAACTCCTTGTTATTGAATGCTAAGTTAAACCAATATGCTGTCTTACAGAGAACTATTGCATATACAAGCCATTATAAATTGTGACCAACTGATAAACATATAATCAGGGTAACAAAGTAAAATATCATACATAATCCTGGAGATTATTGTTGTTTCAGCCAATTATTACTGTAATATCATAAATGTGAAGCTAATTTCTATGATGACACTGCAAGTGAATGAAATGGAAGTAGGCCGTGAAACTCAAGTCGACAGATTCACATACACTTGTTCCCAGTGAGAAGTATTGTGTATTGGAGATAGATAAGGTAAATGTGTGTGTAAGTCATGCATTGGAAGAAACACTGAAAAGAAAGATTCAAACTATTGAATACTTCAGACAGACAAAGTAAGCAGTATGTTACAGAGATACAACTGGTTAACTAACTTGAGAAAGGTGTATAAAGTTGCATATGAAATCAGTGAGTATTTGATTTTTGCAAGGTCGAGGCTTTAGCCAAGCTTGCATCTGCAAACAACTCGATGCAAGGCGAAAAACTCATTCCACTTCGCAGAACCAACTTCAGGTTGAGGTGTTCAGAACACAAGCCATAATTATTCTATAATATATGTACAACACACCATAGTTACTTCTTTTGTTTTTAGAAATTTAGAAAATCGTGAACATATTAGGATATGTCGTCACTTGATTAACAATTGTTCAAAGTCTTTTTTTCACATACACTATACATATATAATAATATAATTGTTGTTGGATGTCTTAACCATTTAAAAAATAAAATAAAATGTTTCTCTAAACAACTAATATTATTAGAGTAATTATGGTTTTGTTACATCAATGTCATCAGCACGTGCATTACATCATGGTATTTCCATGTAAGCTGTGCTAACCTAATCTCCAAACCATGTATAGGTTTACAAGGGGAAACAAGATCAGATGATAGGAAGTGTATAGAGAGTAGTGTTGAAACAAGATCAGATGATAGGAAGTGTATAGAGAGTAGTGTTGAAACAAGATCAGATGATAGGAAGTGTATAGAGATTAGTGTAAGAAGACGGGTGTGTGCAGAAGAAATGGTAGACATTGTTTGAACCAGGACATGGTTTCAATGCCTCTAATGTCAAGTGACCTCTTGGCCATTATGTACATATAAGTGTTCACTTTGTGGTCTCTAATGTCAGTGACCTCATGGCCATTATGTACATAGAAGTGCTGACCATGTGGCCTCTAATGTCAGTGACCTCTTGGCCGTTATGGACATAGCAGTGTTCACTATGTGGTCTCTAATGTCACTGTTCTCATAGTCATTATGTACATAGAAGTGCTGACCATGTGGTCTCTAATGTCAGTGACCTCATGGCCGTTATGGACATAGCAGTGTTCACTATGTGGCCTTTGTCACTGACCTCATGGCCGTTATGGACATAGCAATGGTCACTATGTGGACTGTAATGTCACTGTTCTCATAGTCGCTATGTACACAGAAGTGCTCGCTATGTGGAAGCCTGTTAAAGTAAGGAGAACTGTTGACAACCGTACATGGCAGGTACATCTTCCACCGGGACTGTTATTAACTTTATGATTCCTTAAACTCAATACTAAAACAAACAGAATGATCTATGTAAGACATTCCCCCTGCCTTCTACTCAGGAAGCCAACAAACATGGATAAAAAACTGTATATGCTCCTATGTCTACCAAAGCTTTGATACAACTTTGAAAGACGTAATCAAACAAAATGCTTAGTTCAGGGACTACAGTTATGTGATTTGTTCCTCCTGGTAATACTCATCTGCTAGTTGAGTATGCACATCATTCATCACATATGGAGGCAGATGGGTAGTAGTGGCAAAATCAACTCATTATGTTGGTTGATTCCTGCCTGGTCCCAGTGTGTGAAGCCCATTCATGGTGTCGACTGCCGTAGTATGGCTGGAATATTGCTAAGGTGGCTCTAAACTCACCTCATACATCACATATATTTATTAATATGACTCAAGAGCACAAGATACAATGTATAACCTTTTACATCACAAGGATAATGGTGTTTGCATGTACTCATAACATATCAGTTGTTTCAAACCGAAGATATAATAGTCTCCAACACCCTTATCTTTCTGTGTTTTCATTACACAGAATGTAAGCTCCTGACTCTGCATCCTGTGAGAGCTAGCCAGACTCCAGGCCACCCACTGATAACTCTGACTGACAAAAAAAATCAATTGCAGACTTAACTACTGCACCAAGAGCTCTGGCATAACAGACATAGAATCAAGTAATGATTTTTTTCTCCATGTTCTGGTCTGTAGCTTCGTTTCAAACGGGTTCTAACATGAGAACAGATCAGTGCCTATGAAATATTAGTACTGTTCCTGCCCAAGTGATCAGTATTGGAGGTCTGCACTTGGTCAAGTGGAGCTGATTTCTAGTTGTTGATTTAAATGTGATAACTAATGAATTGTGTTTCCATATATATTGAATATTGATGAAACAGTTCCCATAAAGATTGTATGTTCATGCCAATTTATCATCTTTATCAGAAAAAGCCATCTGATACAATCTGGCCTGTGGAGCAAAGATTTAGTAATTACGACATAATGATTATTTAAATGGCACCAACTTATCACATCACCATGAACATTTTACTCTCAAGCCTATCATGTAACTCTCCTCAGGCCATACAATAAGGGTTGCTCACCGGACTGCAACCAACAATGAATTTCATTTGTAAGTGATAATTTTGTTGCTGTTTTTTTAGTGGGTACCAGGTTTTACAAACTGATCTTTCACCTCATAAAATCCTGTGTACTTGCTAATGACACAGGTATCTAGGGGAATCCCTTAATTTATCAATATATCTTGTTCATCTGACACAGCTTGCATTTGGCGTAATTCCGCACAAGCTTGTACCAAACATATCTCTTTTTGATCGATAATTGAATGTCAAGGACGAAATTGAAAACCTCCATTGACTTGATCACAACAGATAACAAGCACATAAATCACTCCTGGTCTACAATTTCTGAGGTAATTTACATACTATTTCACCAAGGGCATGATCTGTTTTGAGTTGCAAACTACCCGATCAGCACTTTTTCACAAAGACAGGTTTAGTGCCTGCAGAGCCTACAAGCAGCAGGTGCTCCAGGTGAAGCCTTGTCAACCAGAAGTCTCTCCTCGCCACACAACCCTGTCCAGTCATGCATGGCCACATCTTTCCTCATGTCAAACACTCAGAATAACACCATTATGAAAACCTTCAAAAGAGGGATGTTGAATTATTTATGAATATGATTTATAAAAAATAATGAGTATTTTATGATTTCATGGACTTAATATTGACATAGTTAGCAAGCCTGGAAGCAGACATTATCACAGCTGCGTCATTGTAAGGCAGATAGTGTGTTGCATTCACATACATGCATTCCTAGACTACTTCGTAAGTGTATCGATGAGCAAATCTGAATTTGATCTATATCACTGAGCTTAGATTATCCGAGGTACATTTTTTCATGATTTGGCCAGACTTGTTAATTTTTAGGTTTATAGATAACCTCAAGTGATGTTAACATCCTTTTGTAAGTATTTTACATGGAACGTGTATTCAAGGGGTTTGTTTCAGTAAATTTGCCTCAAATCAACATTTAACATTTAGACTAAAATCTTCATTCCTCCTGGACTTAAGTCAAGCAAATCAGAGACAAGACATGAAACTAGTCTGGCCATTATATCTAAACCAAACATTTAAGAATGATCACTATGAATTCAAAATATATACCACAATGTAACATTTGATTCAAAGTCACCTGTCAATTGTTTTACGACAGCATAAACTAACATGAATACCTGAGATCTCGGTGATCAATCACGGGATCGCGAATAATGCCCTGGAACTGGATACATGGAGAATAAACAAGAGCATCTCGTCAAATCGGTTCAGGTACTTTTGCAAAAGAAACATTAGCGTGTATGGATTATTAAAGAGGCAAGATATGACCACAGTTGGCAAATAACATCCATATTGAATCATATTTCTGTATACCGGTACAAGGTACAGTGTACTTCCTACGGAAATACTCCATACATCCAACTAACCTGAACTTCAGAGAGGAGATTGCATATGTCAATAATAGACATGATAAACGCAGGAACGTTACAGTGACATGACATTTGCACATGGCTGGGGCAAGGGTACTTTGTAAGCTCTGACATTCATGAATAGCACGAAACACAGCTACAGATTCAAAATGGCACAGATACAACATGTCAGAAACATATATCATGGACATATTGCATGTGCAATGGAAATATCTGTAATAGCAAATCAATAAACATCACAAGGCAATATCTAAAAAAATATCTTTTACAAGGATTGGGCCACAACAAATAGACAATTTGTTCTTCCGAATCGAATTGCTTGTTCCAAAGAGATAAATGTCTAGTTTTTCTAACAGATTACAATATTTTGATACTGTAATACATATTGAGTGAGGGAGTGATTATTGCTGAATGCCACATCGTCAATCTTGCAGCCAATTCCCATCAGGGAATCCGTAAAAACCATCGGTAGGACCATTTGGACTAAGCTCAGAAGCAAGAAAAACAAAATCAATAAAATAATTGGTACTTATCAAGCGTCACTTTTATTAGAACTATTAATTTCTGCTGAGAAAAAACCATTACAACCAAGACAAAATAATGAAACCAAGGCCGTAGTTAACTTTTTTTGACAGGGGGTCAAATATTTGTACAAGTATCACTTGTCCCTAACTTGATTCAAATAAAACTGTTTTCTATAAAAAAAATCTAGGGGGGGCAACTGCCCTCCCTGCCCCCCCGGCTGGCTACGGCACTGGAAACGTGTCCTCCATGTCCCCATTTAAGAAAAATTATTTAAGAAAAAATAATCAATTTGTTGTGGATTCCTGTTCAGCAGTGTGCCCTGTTTTATTTAGGCAGGTGCACGTATCTCCCAGGGAATTAATACCTCATCAAAGCTAAACTTTCAGGACTAGAGAGCCTGATACCATCCCTAAAACTAAAAATAGCTGCTGGGAAATTCTAAACACACACATGGTAATGCCTGACATTTAATTATCAACAAGTTGCAATTAAATACTTTACCACATAAACAAGTTCACAAACTAGATGTAATCAAGCAGTGTATGATTAATTTGGGCCTTTTCACCCACTAATTGATTGCTCGCTTGTTTAACCTGAATGTCGGAAAGATTTTGATAGTGTTTCTGTCTAAATGGACAGTTTTTAAGGGTGAGTCTCAGATCAGTGATGTGCTACCTGGGTGTACCTCAGGCAATGCATTCATTACCTGGAAACTTGTAAACTGTGCCTTGTGGCCGCCTTGTCTAACCTGTTTATTGCATTCTTTCCACCACCAACTGTGACCAAGACATGCGGAGTCTAGACAAGTGAGTGGAATGGGATGCCCTGCAGAGGTTAATTTCATAGTCTGATGGTCAAGCCCTGAACATACTGTCTGTTTGTCCACATACTAGCAACAGGTCAACCTGGTTTCCTGTGAAACGGAATACATTGACACACAGCTGAAGCCATCAGTTCATTCAGAACTATAACTCTAATAATATCAGTTGGAAAGATGCACAAAATATGGTAGTACATCTATGAGATAATCATGTTAATAAAAAGGCATATCATTCATCAGGCAGTAGTGGGCACAGGTGGCACTCTAAGGAACCAGAATAGAGTTGCATCCCTTAGCAAGGCAGGTTGTTTGGGGTTTGAATCCCACTTAAGCCTGTTCCACAAAGCGATCATAGTGTTACAGCAGTTGTAAGTCTATGTGAAAGTATGAGAGTTACAATCACCTCAGCACCTTTGTGAGGTGAGGTGAGGTGAAGTGGGGATAAACGTCGCATCCAAGATTATTGCACTTACATAGCGACAGGCATGCATGTGTGAGTGTGTGTGGGTGGCTGCTTGTACTACCAGTAGTCCAAACTAATGCCGATTTAATAGTGCTAACCCACTGAGATACCATGTCGCAGTTTCACATGAATACCCCACTCAGACCCCACTATACTGACTCTCAGCCGACCAGTCTTTGTTTCAGCACTTTAATGTCCAATGCCAGACAGGGTAACAACAAGTACCATCTTTTAACCTCTTTTGGTATGACCAGGCTGGGGATAGAAACCCCGACCTTCCGCTCTCCAGGAGGACGCTCTACCACTAGACCAAGGAGACAGTCAGCACCTTTGTGGAACAGGGCTCTGATTATGATCCTTGGATTGTCAGCACTCTGTGCAGATAGACCATAACCATGGTAACCATCTGCAGCCTGCATCACTTTGAGATTTAGTCCAACATATGCTGAGACACTGTGATGTCCAAATTTTTCTCAGGTGATAATGAATCAACTTTAAGATTTAATCCCAATCCATCTCACTTCCAAACATCATGCCTCGCAACATCTAGTTGTCCGGGTAACCAGCAGATGAAGAAACCTGCTCCATGTGCACCCCACCCCGCCCCTCAACCCCCACAACACCGGCTTTACTTGATATGATATTCCTACCAAACATGCTTCATGTGAATCAAACCCTTCAACAGTTAATGTACTCAGTTGCCTAAACAGCCTGTTTCAAGAACACCACAGCATAGTGCCTGGATTAGTGGATTTGTAACCCATGTGATTCTATATGCCAACACTGAATTTGAACCCATCACCCTGGTTCCTGTCAAGCTATCAAAGCAGGATTCCCCTTTCAGATTAAATGTGAACGTATAACTGATGTGACATCCTGTTTGTAAGGCAGGACAGTTAGCCTGGCCCTCCCCCTCTTTGATGTACCCTGCTGGCCATGTGATCAGCTCCATTACATCCCATATGTCAGTGTCAGACTCCACCCACCAAAGCCTCCTCCTCCTTATCTACATGGAAGCCAGGAGTAGAACTATAAGAGCACATTACACTGTATATTCTCTGGATGGTTTAAGCTATTCTGTGGATGGCTATTCCATATCTAAGAACAGTTTCATGAGTATTTGTAAATCAGTTCTGTTAACAAATATTCCATATCGCTTATGTTCCTATGATATTTTCATAATTACTTAATCATGATTCCTAAATTTGAACATTCACACGCAGCTATATTCCAGGATTGAATGAATGTTGTTTAATGATGCAGTCAGCAATATTCTAGCAATATTACAGCAACCTCTACAGCCGAGTTTGGGCCAGACGACCAGTGGTTGATATTTAAAGCAATATCCCATAGCATCAGGGTATGATGACCCAGCCTGACCACCAAATTAGTTGTCTCTTACAACAAGCAGTAGCGTGCATGCGATATATTTTAACCAAGTTCCTCAATGGGTCATAGTTAAGATGTTACTTAAAATAGCTTTTTAACATGAAAACATTTCTCAATAGCTGTTGTTTTTTCAAAGAAAGATATTCATCACACGCACCATAATATATACATGAAACAGAAAGTTTCCAAGATCAAATGAGAATTTGGTTGAAAATGAAGTAACAATTTCAGAGCAAAGAACAACAAACCTTACTGACTAAAGACCTTAGCTGTAGGTAAACATATCAGCACATTTCACTGTTGAAACATTTTTACCTGAATTATAGAACAAGATTTTTCATAGGATGCCATTTTTGTTGAGTCTCACATCTGTTCACCCCGAGTTTCTTGTGTCATGATTATCATTATGAGATATATCTGTAGCAGTAACTACGTTCACAGCACCGTCCAGTGAACTCGTCAACAGTGTTTGGCTGGGATATAGTCTTCACACTGTGCTTCCTATACTCTGAGATCTGTGGACTTTCTAGCACTGAATTATCCAAAGTAACCCCCCAGAGGTCAGAGCTATTCATTTAATAGTCCACATTGAACACACAATCATGAGTCCTCCATGAGAATCATGTCTACTTATAAGTAACATCAGATGAAAGTATAAATATTATGTCTTTCTCCCCTCCAGTTAACTTTGATGCTTGGACACACCCAATGCTCCTAGTACCCGTTGCCTTCCGGCAGTTCAGGGGTGCTCTGATCCTCATACCAGATCTTCTTATGGACGAAAATGGTGGAAATGACTCTCTCAATAGCCACCAAGGTCATGATGCACAGACAAAGACAGTGGTTGTCTATGGCCAGGTTGTACTCAGGATCCAGCGTTGCTGCAGTGCCGAAACTGATAGCTGCCTCCTCAAATAGCCCAAGTTCCATAAATGCATAGCCCAACACTGACCACAGGAATGGAATGTCTGTTTCATACACATCCTTCATGAGCTGGATGATCCATTTCTCGGCCAACTTTGGTTGCCGCAGCATCACATTTGAAAGGACAAGGATGTATTTGCCAAGACATCTAGAGGGCATCACAACCTCCTCCTGTGCATCAACCTCATCCTGAAGAGGTTCAGGCAGGGTAACCTTCTCCAACCCCCCAAACACAATATCATCAGATTCCCTCTGAGCCTTCAGAGCATCCTCCAAGTACATGATAGCATCGTCATAGTTTCCCTGACTGTATAGGAAGTTGGCATACTTGACACAAACACTCTGGTTCATGTTGATCGCAATGGCATCTTGGAAGTACTGCTCTGCCTTGAGAATAAGCTCCAACTCCTGATCGATGGATTCACAGATGCAGGCCTTCACGTAACACATCGTGGCCAGATTGCCCAACATGGAACACATTTCAGGACCAACGTCTCCATCATGTAATTCTTTGCTTATCTCTATACTTTCCATGTAGGAGTCAATTGCCTTGTCCACATCCCCAGCGAAGGAGTGCATCTGCCCCAGCTGGTACAGAGTGGAGACAAGATCCCCCTTGATGTCCTCTCCCAAGACATCCTGGATGTCCCTAGCCTGTTCCAAATAGTGCACAGCATTCTGATACTGGTTCATGCTGATGTGGGCATCAGCAGATCGACTGAGGAGCTGGTTGTGGAGAGCCATGTCATCTGAAGATGTGGTCATCTCGTCTGTTGTCTGAGGCTCGGAAAATGTCATGTTCTCATGGTTTCCAAAGTCAAGAGCTTCATTGTAGTAGGTAAGAGCAGTCTTGTAGTCGTACTGTGCAAAGTAGCAGTCACCCAGAATCTGGAGGATTCTCATACATTGTCTCTTTTCACCATTCTTACTCTCTTGCATCAATGTTCGCCCTATGTTTAAATATTTAATTGCTTTGTGTTGTAAATTTAGGACATTATAAGAGTTACCCAATATGTAGAGATTTTGACAAATTAACCAAAATTTTTCCTTTTTCAGTTCAGGAATTTTCTCGCCGTACATATTCCAAAACACTTCAAAAGCCTGGTAGCACATTGACACACACTTGTGATATGACTTCATCTTGTAGTAGCAAATGCCCAAGAGGGAGTGAAGGAGTCCTTGGAAGAAATTATCAGAATCTACTCTGTAAGAAAATTGTGCCTGTCTGGTCATCCTGTAGGCCAGTTCAAACACAGAGGCAGCCCGAGGATACACATGGAGCATGAAGGTAGACACGCCTAACATACACAGCACATGAGCATTCTGTAACAGAGAATCCTTCCCATGTGCGCTGGATGCTCTCAAGTACCCCATGGATCTCTCATAAGAGTCTAGAGACTCATTATAGTTTTTCACCACAAAGTGGCAGTCCCCTAGCTTCCTGAGAGCCTTTGCCAGGTAGTCTATGTTAGATTCATCATTGTTCTCAAGAACCATCAGAGCTTCTGTGTAACAGGTGATGGCTTCATTGATACTGTTCATGTCCTCGGCTGATACTGTCTCATCTGATCTCTTGCTTTCAGGACTGGAATCAGCACTATCTGATTCATCAGATGCTTCCTTCTCGAAGAACTCGCTCATGGCAGTGATGATATGCTTATGCAAGGCATCCTCATGAAGGACTTTGGCAACATGGGCATTGCCCAGATCAATCAAAACAAGGGCCACTTCTCGGTGGGCATCACGTTCTTGGAGATCTCGAAATATCTGCAGAGCCCTCTCAAGGTGCACCATGCCCTTCGAAGCATCTCCTTGGCGAAGACAGAGAATGCCAATGTTCTGTAGTAATTGGGCACTGAACCTAAGAAGTCGTACTGTTCCATCCTGAATGTCATCTACAATCTGGAGAATCTCCTCACACAACATTTCAGCCTTCTGGTACTCCTCTTCATGGAGTAGCTTGGCAACAACTTTATGGAACACTTTTGCAATGACCAGCTTGATTGGTTGCTCTTGAAGTGGGGAAACAAATTCTTTTTTAACTGGTGGTTCTGGCGATGTTGCTTCCTGGGATGTGGCTCCTGGGAGGTCGTTCTCCTCTGAAGGCTCAGAAGCTAGCTGCAAGATTCCACTAATTTCACAGTTTTTTCTTTCTTCAAGAAAAAAGTCCCAACCATTTTTGTCAACATCACTGGCGGCTAGTTCATAACTCAGTGAGTGTTCCTTCACAGCAGTGTCAACTTTGGCTTCAGCGTCTACATCAGCATGGTCACTGTACTCTGCGTCACTGCCATCTGTTAGAGTATCAAGACTTAGCCTCTGAGAAGAACTTCTGTCAAAGTCCAATGAGCCTCGGAAGTGCAACACTTCATCTAGAATCTCTTGAATGTTTTTATTATACAATCGTCTCTTGCAATATAACTGCAGTCTTTTGAACCAATTTGCATTCCCGATAGTCATGGCTTCATTAAGAGGAGCCTCATGCAGACTCTCCAAGCTGAAAGACTGAGTCAGGAAGCCAGACTGGTATGGCTTGATGCCCAAACCAAGCAGACTGGAAAGGGGAAACTTTGTAGATGTAGTAGGTGTGAGGGATCCCATCACATTCTGGGTATGATAAGGATCCACAACCCTCCAGTTTTCCCTGAGCCAGTTGTGGATGGTTCTAGCTAGCACATCTTCAAGCCCCCGCACTCTGTTCACTGCCCAGTCCCGCTTGGACTGGTACCAGTCCATCCACTGGTTATCCTGCTCCAACTCTATTTCAGTTATACACATCTCTATTGTCTCCTGCAACAAGGTAGTAGCATGAACACACAGCCACTGCCATTCTAACGGACTCTGTCTGCTTGTTCGACTCCTCCTGGTGCATGTCTCGGAAAGACCAATGAAGATCTCAATCTTGGATCGGTAGTTCTCCTCAGGCGTATCCTCCAGTCTCTGGTAGGCCTTGAGGAAGAGCCTCTCGGCCTCTACGAGGTTGAGAGCCTCCAGCTGGGCCAGGGCCTTGTCCAGCACTTCCCGCGTCCCCTGGCCCACTTCTTGGTCCTCCTCCATCTCGTCCTCTACAACCTGCAGGAAGTAAGGCACATCTATGAATGTACTTTGCGACACAGTAGGCTCAACATTGACACACATTTTAATAATGTTAGACACTTTCAACATTTCCATCTAACGGAAAATACAACACAAATTTTAAAGTATTCAAAATAGTCACTGTTTTGATAGGCATTTTCTTTTGGTATAAACAACAATGTTGTAACCAGTGTCACATGACTAATACCAACCATACTACCCATATTCTTGACTATAATCATAATTTCATCATAACGACTTTTTCCCAGGGCTGGTCAGAAATGCACACTATCATGATTTTTTTCTTTCATTCTGTTCAGCTTTAATTCTGACATACAAATGTAAGATCATTAGTTTATACATTTCATTCAAATGATTTTGGCTAAGTGCGCAATTTACTGCCAGAAGTGAATTCTGTGACACGTCTGTGATTGATCATTTCTGTAGTACGTAAACGCATTGTAAACACACCTCCTTGTCTTGTCAAGTTGTCATCGTCCCCTCACAAGTATCAGTATCAGTTTAATATGATCTTTCCAGTTTGATAGGTCCTATAACACAACAATGTGTAGTGTTTAACACTGACATGGCTGATATGACACATAGCAGTGCTCCAGCAATGGGGAAACGTGTGTGAACCTCACCTTCTCCACATCATCGTCCTTAGCTGTGTTTTCCCGAGTATCATCCTGCTGTATCTTCTCCTCCCCACCGCCGCCGCTGCCGCCAGCCTTGATGACCTCCAACACTGACTCCAGTGACTGACCACCAGTCAATATAAAACCAGATACATCATTCTCCTTCCAACCTGAAACACAAGAAGAAATCATGAGGGTGGCAACAATCTGAGGACATGAGGGACACACCAACCTGAGGAGATGAAGGACACAACCAACCTGAGGAGATGAAGGACACATCCACCTCAGGACATGACAGACACACCCACCTAAAGAGATGAAGGACACATCCACCTCAGGACATGACAGACACACCCACCTAAAGAGATGAAGGACACATCCACCTCAGGACATGACAGACACACCCGACTGAGGAGATGAAGGACACCCCCACCATGGGACCTGAGGGACACACCCACCTCATGAAGGACACCCCCCCTCAGGACGTGAGGGACACACCCTCCTCAGGACATGAGGAATAAAACCACCTCAGGACATGAGGGACACACTCGCCTCAGGACATGAACGACACCCCACCTCAGGACATGAGGGACACACCCACTTCAGGACATGAGGGACACAACCACCCCAGGACATGAGGGACACACCCAACTCAGGACATGAGGGACACACCCACCCCAGGACATGAGGGACACAACCACCTCAGGACATGAGGGACACACCCACCTCAGGACATGAGGGACACACCCACTTCAGGACATGAGGGACACACCCACCTCAGGTCATGAGGAACACACCCACCTCAGGACACGAAGGACAGACCCACTTCAGGACATGAGGGACACACCCACCTCAGGACATGAGAGACACACCCACCTCAGGACATGAGGGACACACCCACCTCAGGACATGAGGGACACACCCACCCCAGGACATGAGGGACACACCCACCTCAGGACATGAGGGACACACCCACCCCAGGACATGAGGGACACAACCACCTCGGGACATGAGGGACACACCCACCCCAGGAAATGAGGGACACACCCACCTCGGGACATGAGGGACACACCCACCCCAGGACATGAGGGACACACCAATCTCAAAACATGCAGAATCTGTTCAATCAGGAATATATTACATATTGTAGCATGTGGTATGTTAATGTGGGAGGAATATATACATGACATGGAATATGTGCATGACAGCTGAGACATTTTTAATTAAATTGGGCAAGCACAAGATCTTAGATTCTAATTTTCCCTGTGACTTAACCAGATGGAGGGCTATTTGCCAGGTACATTTCACTGGCTCCTTAATCATTTCTCAAGCCACTCAAGTTAATTACTATTGCCATAGGGCTGGAAATGAATCTATTTCTACAACATAAATTTTCATTTCCATGTTTGAATAAAAATAACACACATTTCATCACAGAAAACAAAAATTGTCATTTCAGATAAATGTGGGATTCAAACCCAGGACTGGGGGATATTGGGGAATGTACTGTATTTAAACAACTGGGCCACCTATCAACAAATAAGTTATGAGTAGGTTTAGTATGGGATTTCTCCACCTTGTTTCAGATACTATTCCCCGACCACACCATGTCAGTGTAACTCATTGTGTTTACCAGTGTCACTGTAACTTATTCTGTTTACCCAGTGAGAATGTGGGAAGGTGCGACATGAACTCTGCACCGAAGCATCTACATCATGTGTATCGTGTTCCCCGCAGTCAGCTCGTGTTGCGGCAAGCTGCACCCCATGTCTGCCCTAGCCTGTCGGCCGGTCACCAGGGTCCTACATGATCTACTGCTGCTTCTTTGTTCTCAGTCTTTCAAATCAGTTATCTCAGCCGATATCTCAAACCCTCAATCATGGAAATTTGTTGTTTTTTTACTCTCAGGAAACATATCAATACTGGTGTTGCTGTTTGATTCTCCGGGTATTGAGAACAAAGCCAACAGCTGTGATTAAGATGTACACACCATAACCTGCCAATGCTGCGACCTACAATACCTGCCTGGCTGGATTCAGAGGGACTAGGTTAATGCTCAATCCTAATGTTGTTCCAATGTATTATAGTTACTATTACAGACCGTGAAACCAAAAAATCCCGACCCCGATTAGATGGTTTCAGTTTAAGATTATTCACTACATTCTTACAACTAACAAATATTTATATAAAATTGGATATGTTGATTCTCCTTTCTGTACAAATCAACCTGAAACTATAATCCATATGTTGAATGATTGTGAACATGTAAGAAATATTTGGGAGAGACTATATCTGGTTAAAATCTGTTGTGGAAGGAACCATTGATTTAAACAGAGAAAATGTTTTGTTTTGATTTCAAGGCAAACACAAGAACCCATTGAATATCGTACTTTAATAACAAAACAAGTAATATACAGACAATGCAGGAAAGGATTAAGGCCACATTTTGAACACATTCAGCATGAGGTAACATGATATTACAATGCTACAAAGGTAATGTCATTCAAAAATTGTAACTATGCAAACTTTTGTAGTTTTTGGTCTTCCTTCCACACTTTGTTAAAAACTGAACAGTGATGCACTGATACAGTACGTGGACTTTACAGGCAAGACTTTATTGTATGGAAAGATGTACATTTTTTTAAAACCATGTACCACAACTATATTGACATGACATGTATATATAAATGCTGTACCTGCTGAGATGAATTTTAAAAAAAACTATAAAAAAAACCCAAAAAAAACAACAAACTAATCCCGACCCTATTTATCTGGACATTTTCCTGATCTTATATCGATGCAAAATACACCAATCTCATAAACATGGAGTCATGATCCTATAAATAGACAAGTGATGAACGCTGGAACCGCTTTTAAGCTCCATACATCAATGTAATGTCTGCTTGCTCAATAAACTACTCACTAACATTTCAAATACACTTAGATGGGTGTTTCTCAATATATTGGTGATTTTGCAGACAAAAATGTCTGCAAGTCATTTTTCACAATAAGGTATATAGGGCGGTTCACTCAAAGAGGTATTCAAACCTAGTTTCTATGGTTACTTCATTGAGTGAAATCCCATCTCAAATATCTATTATTTTAAGACAGATGTCACATGATAAAGAGATAATGGCAAAAATGTGTTAAAAAAGAAAAAGAAAACATTTCTGGATCGGGAATGCAAAATGCAACAATAACTTAGTTTTCACCCTTTAATGTTTCAAAATATGCCATCAACTTCTGTCCTTTCAATCTGTCAAGGATAAACTAAATATGCAGATTGACATTTTATATTTTCCACAAGTGTGACCACCACCTCAATTTTATAATTACTGGTCAAGGGTGATGTTTTGGCATTTGACTAGCGGACCAGTGAATAGTTACGTTGTGGAGGGCACACTCCAACAGGCTGATGTTTTGGGCTTGGCCCCGTTGCACAAAGTGATCGTAGCGCTACAAGTATCGTAAACCTATGTTAAAGTATGGAAGTTAAAATCATCTCTGTTCTAAGATAGCTTTGTGTAACGGGGCCCTGCAAATTTGTAACCCTGTGCACTCCCATCGAGTACAAATCCATAAGAAATTAGTAGGCCAATGTCCGCCTCAAGGGAGGCCGAGCCCCAGAGGCCACACCCCACTTGACCCAAGCCGGTCTCACTTTCCACAGACCATACAGATCATGCAGATTACAGGGCAATATAAATAGGATAATCTGCTGTGGCTAACAAAGATCTGAAGTGTTCTCACAACACTTGCACCTGACACAGGGGATAACAGATTGAGTTACAAGCTGTAAGTCCTAGGCAAACACTCGTACATCTACATGAGACCAGATGACTCAGTCAACATCCCCGGGCCACCAGCGACTCAATCATACTCCTATAAATGTATATAGACTAAGGACATTTTTTTCAAGTTTTGGTTTTGATTGGCCACAACAGATACCTGGAGAACAAACCTTTATATAAGAAATAAGATTTTAAATTTTTTTTAAGACAGTTACAATGACCACCATAGCTTTATTAGGAAGTGACTTCAGAATCTCCCCCTCTCTAATTACAGTAAACTATGTTTATACCAAACACGTTAATAACAAACTCACGGATAAAACAAACTGTTTTTTAGGGTCCCGTCCATTTGCTGTATATATGTTGTATATGTGCTCATAATGAACTTTAGTTATAACGAACTAAAATAAGTGGTCCCTTTGAGTTCGTTATAAACGCTGTTCACTGTACACAGATTTCCTCTTGATCAAGATTGTAAATTGATTTGACACAGCTATTTTTAGAATATTTCAAATTTGACTGAGAATCCAGCTATGGTTGTGAACGGTCTAGGGAATTCATAACAATAGGCTTGAGATATAATACCCTGGATAATCAAGAATGCATCACCACGAGGGACACCAACCATGGCCTTTGGGAATCAAACCCAGGTGTGTGTCATGACAAGCTATGCCTACACCACTAGGCCACCCGAACACCCTGGTATTACAAGGCCCTCATTAAAGATTACTCTCTAAGGCCTTTGAGACATTTCTCATAAAAAATGTAACAGGTTCATTACCCATGACATAGTCTGAAGCTTAAAAGCATGTGTTGTGCATGAGAAGAATACATTTAGACGATTATGAAAGTGTTGCTTTCACAAAAGCCTCTGAGCGACAGCCTCGATACCCATTGCGAATTTGGCAGGCTAAATGAGCACCATATATCTCCATGAAGTAAACATTTCTCTGTTAATGTACATACTTCACAATACATTTATGGGATGCAGTTTACTCAAGCATGGATCTGTTAATATATTATCATGGCTATGTTACTGAAGCAAGGAAAAGGGTGCATGTGAAGTATGGAGTATTTCATCCAGTATTAACAGAGATAAGAACAGTCAATATATTTGGAATAATATCAATTCTGAGCCAAGTTTAAACCACTCTGAACAGTACTGTATTTTCTTGAGTATAGTGCGCACCCAAGTGTAATGTGCAACCCCCTCTAGTGGATTCAGTATTTTGGAAAACAAATTTTGAATATTATATGCAGAAAAAAATGACACCGTACCCCTTCAGCGAATTCCGGTAAACGAACGGGTGATAAGTAACTTCGTCAATACAAATTTGAAATTTGAGATACAAAAATCACCAGACATGTTGATTTACCAT